CGCGCGCCTTTATACGTTTGTCTAGCGAGCGTGGGATCTCGTTTAACTGTTCCTCGGCGTACGGCCAGGCTATAATTACGGATCACCCTAGCTTATCAATTATCACGTAGATAATAATTGACGCGGCGATTCTGCTGGACGATTGGTAAACACGTGTCCCTCGAAAAGCGCCGGTGGGTTTCTTCATCTGGGTAGAGAAGGTCGCGGCGAGAGGAACGCGCAAAAAAGATCGGCGGCGAGGAACGAAGGTAGGCGAGTGCACTTCTCCCGGGGCTTCCCCTCTCCTCTGGATACGAGTCGCGCTGAGTCTGGCCGAGTCTACCGGCGTACCAGGGCGCACCGCCTGGTACGAGCGGTGCACCGGGCCCCTCTTCCCCGTCACCGGCTCTCTATCTTCGTCTCATTCCAGCTCGTTGCGGCTCTCTGTCCCTCGTGACCGGCGACACAGCGCACCTCCGAGATGAGAAAATTCGCAACCTGTGCACGAGAACCCAGCGGTTCTTAACCTTTTCACACCATGCGTTCACCCCCTTGATCCCTGCCGGCTTAATAAAACTCATAGACGTGTGAGAATAGGCCGGCCAGATGGGAGACTTCTAGAGACCAGGCAAGGAAAATGAATGGAAGAGTTTCCTCTTCTTTTTTCTCTTTTTTTCTCTGAGAGAGACAGCCACGGAGCGTGTTTTCTCTATTCTTCTTACGGGGTCAATAGGAATATGTTGGATGCTTGGGTATGGTTAAACTACGTGTTACATGTATGTCCTAGTTTTGAGTGTCACAGGTTGACGTAGGGGTCCATTGAGACCGAGCTTCGATCGTTCTATCTGTTGCTTGAAAGCCGGTTTCTGGCGAGCAGTTAGAGTTAGGTAATTGGACGGTGCGAGACCGATGAATCTTAGGAGTCTAACTAGGATTTTATTTGAACAGATTTCCTAAAGGTAGGCTGTCTGATAAATATGAATTATAATACTTATTGAGTTGAACGTAAGAGTAACGTTTGCGGTGTGAAACGTTTTTCAGGCGGCGCAGTGAAGGACTGTTTATTTTCATGAAGGACGTGTTCTCGACGATTTCGTGACCGGCAGAGTAAAAACGAATCGCGTACCATCAGCGAAATGAAAGCATTTATTACTCTTATCTGGCACGAATACATATCTGCATTTTGTTTTTGAAAAATCGGCGACCTTCCTCGCTTCACTTACGTCCTCTCAGAGTTGCAGAATAACAGTAGTCGATGTATTGTTATCAGTAAGCTGCAGATTCTTATGCAAACTGAACTATTTATGGTTTCTTTGCAAAATACAATAGGAAATTCTCTCATCTTTTAAATATAGCAATCTGCACTTTATATTTGGTATTCAGGTACAGTTTTATGCATTATTCATTGCGTTTATGTCTTTTGTATATTCAATTTCCTGGTAAATGCATCAAGAAATCAGCAGTCTGATTATTAGATTCAATGGGAAATTATAAATGATTATTCGATGGGCAGACGTGTCCTTGTAATTTTGTGACAGTAAGTGCCAATATTATTGAGCGTACGTCATCGAACGAGAAAGGCTAAGCATCCTGTTGGTGTTATCCTTGAAAGGATGCACATATACGGCAGCCGTACGTGCTAGATAACCGATTCCAGCTAGATTCCGTCGAGATTCTATCTGTTCGGTGCCAGCCGGTACCGTTCTGTCTCCCGTCCACCGGCGATGCCTTTTCTATTTATTTTCATTACTCAACGCTATAGAAATCGTTTGATAAATAGCTCGGATCGGAACCGAACGAGCAATACGTACCAACAAATACTAGTAGTTTCAAATACTGCTAGCAATTATTTCATGCATTATCGATAGACTGAATCGGCAATCGGACTATTTATTTATTTTCATTACCTAACACCATGGAAGTCGCTTGATAAATAGCTCGGATCCAACTCGAACCAGTGGCAATAAATACCAACAGACTTAAATAGTTTTAGTAATCATTTTATCGATAGGTTTCATCTTTAATCAGGCTACTTATTTATTTTCATTACTTAATACTATTGAAATTGATTGATAAATAGTTTGGATTGAAATTGAACCAGTGGTAATAAATACCAACAGGCTTAAATGCTTTTAGCAATTATTTTAGATATCATTGATAG